AATTATGCGCTTGTTTAAAAAAACAACACTATGTTCATGTAATTATGCGCTTGTTTAAAAAAACAACATAATGTTTATGTAATTATGCGCTTGTTTAAAAAACAACACAATGTTCATGTAATTATGCGTATGTTTAAAAAAACCAACACAATGTTCATGTAATTATGCGCTTGTTTAACTAAATATTTCCACATTTACCGGGAATGTCTTTTCAGCGCATGTGCAAATCAAATAATTGTGTCTAGAACTCGTAAGGTTTAATATATCTGGCGAAGTTTCCTCACAATGAATTTTTGTGCTTAATTTGTCAATAATTTCCTAATTTTTATGTTGGAACAGTTTTGTCTGTCGCATCTGTCTTCCCGGTGGCTCAGTGGTGAGTTCGAGGGCTTATAATGCTAAAATCCGGGGTATTATTCTGGCGGTGTGAACAAAACGCATAACCCGTTTTACAATTTTGTGCTTAAAATTCATTGTCGTTCCTTTGTTTTCCAAGTATTAATTTTTTTATTCAACCCGAAATAACACCCATAAACATTAATTATACCTAATAATTGTATTAAAAAAGCCATCTCTTCATGTCTTCATGTTCAAATCATGTTGATGACATAGCAGTCATAAAAAAATGAATCAGTTAGTTCCATGAATACGAAATGTAAGGAGAAAGTAGGAAACTGGAGAATAACTAGCTTCTGCTACCAAGCTAATGAGTTGCAGACATACATATATGTTCATAAAAATGAAGTAATAGTTAAGTCTTATTACATTAGTTTTGTTTTTGAAGTGCTACTTTTATATAATAAACCTTATATGCAAGTGCAAAATATGTATTATTTATCTATATATGCTTATTTATACTTATAGGTGCATTGCTAAGCAACCAGTGTCATAGACATGCGTTTTTTTCAGGAACCTTTGCTTTCTTAACGAGAGTAAAGATTCGTCTAACTTCCTTAGGACTATAATTTACTTGTAAACTAAGCAGCAGATGCAAAATATGTATTCTTTATATATATATGCTAATTTATACGTATAAGTGCGTTGCTAAGCAACCAGTGTCATAGACATGCGCTTTTTTCAGGATCCTTTGCTATCTTTAACGCGAGTAAAGATTCGTCTAACTTCCTTAAGATTGTAATTTACTTGTAAACTAAGTAGCAGATGCGAACAAAGTATTGCTAACTATTTATTCCAAACTTGACACTTTATAATTATTTTAAATCTTATTCACTTTTCTTCTTACTCTGTGCGATATTTTCATAGCATGTCATTTTACATCAATAATAACATAGACCTTAACGATAACTTTTTCTTTCCATGACCGCCGAAGTAACTAAAAACAGAGAAGCCAATATAATAAATTAGTTAAAACTGTCACTTTCAAGGTTACAGTATAATTACCCGATACTAATAGTAACGTCAAAATAGGCAACGGTTCGGAGTGTAATAATTATTATCTCTTTGTTTTACAGGAAATAGTAATGAAAAGAATATTTTCAAGTTTGGTTATTGTCCTCATTCTGACTTCTACGTTCAGTGTTCATGGATTGAAAAAGAGAAAGAAGCGACAAGGTACTGTGATAGTTGATGTATATCTGTCTATATATATATAGACACATACATATATAAATATATTAATTTAGGATAAGAAAACAAGCTGAAAGGTTTCTTGCTGTGTGCTCAGTAATAATAACTAAAATTCTTCGTCAGTCTACTTGCTAGCATTAAACAGTCCTCTCATTTAAGATGCTGCACTCATGAGAAACACTAAGTCCTCTCATTTAAGACACTGCACTTATCAGACGCACTTAGCCCTCTTACTTAAGTCACTGCACTCATAATAAACACTAAGTACTCTCATTTAAGGCCCGGCATGGCCAGGTGGTTAGGGCTCTCGACTCGTAATCTGAGGGGCGCGGGTTCGAATCCCCGTCACACCAAACGTGCCAACCTCCGCCTTTGCCTGGTCCCAAGTACAGGATGAGAAAGGAGGAGGATTGTGCGCGGGGCTAGCAACTCCACCCCGTAAAAACCAACCTGCTACAAGAAACTGCAACAACAACTTCCGTTGGGAGGTGTTGTTGTGGCCCTGTGCTCCACTGGGAGTTTACAGGAATAAAAAAAATAAAAAATCTCTCATTTAAGACACTACACTAATCAGAAACACTAAGTACTCTCATTTAAGACACTACACTCATCAGAAACACTAACTAGTTATAATAAATTAAAACCAAATTTTCCAGTTGTATCTAATGTTTGTCTGCTGGTTATTATAACTTGGTCCCGTTGTAGCTGCGAGTTACAATGATTCTTTAACATTGCGCATAATCAGTGGTGTAAGTATGCTCTCGCAGCCCCCGCGATTGCGGAAGGGAGGGCGAAAAGAGCTCGAAGGAGCTGTTAAACTTAAGAATTGCTGACAAGGGAAGAGACATACAATTTAATTTTGTTTTAACTAATGAGCTCTTCCGCTACCCTGTTAATTTAATGTTGTCAATCAATCACAATCGTAACTACAATAATAGGGAAATAAAAGTAGGAGGGCTCAATTACTTTTTTTTTGTGTGTAGGGGGGCATCTGTTATAGTTACGCCACTGAATTTAAGTAACCAATGAAATCAACTAATCCTTTCATGCTTTAAGCTAATACATGTTTTTTTTGTTTGTTTTTAAATTACAGCTACAATCGCCGAATGCGGTGATTCGCGCTTGAGTTTGGGATGTCAGTGTTTTGAGGTGCATCAAGTTAACCATCAGTGATATACCTTTTTCTGTTTTTTCTTTTAATATACCCTCAGTCAATAAACATGCAAACAGAAACACTTCAGCTAACATTGGATAACGAAGCTCATGTATGGCCAGATGAATAATTTCGGATCATGTTAGCTCAACTACGAGCAGAATATATGTATCTTCAACAAGTAAAAATAAATTACTCTTAGTATATGAAAACATTAGTATATCTTCGTAGTTTTACATTCGGTAGACTATTACCCTTTTAATCCTTAAAAAAGTTATTGTAACATTTTCAACATTAGGACTTAAATCACTAATAATAGTTGTGTGTTATTTGTTGTTAAATATATGTATTATTTTACAAGGATAAATAAACTTACTGGTTAAACGTGTATAATTGTTGTATATAAGACAAATATGTTATTGTTCACACGTGTATAATTGTTGTAAATAAGACAACGAGTGTTATTGGTCACACATCTATGATTGTTGTATATAAGACAAAGAGCGTTATTAGTCACACGTATATGATTGTTGTATGTAAGACAAAGAGTGTTACTGGCTACAGGTGTATGATTGTTGCATATAAAACAAATAGTGTTATTAGTCACACGCGTATGATTGTTGTATATAAGGCAAAGAGTGTTATTGGCCTTACGTATATCATTGTTTTATATAAGACAAAGAAGGTTATTGGCTGTTGTATGTGTTCATTTGACATGAAGTAATGTAGGGTATCTATAAAATGTCCAAGTTTTTTATGTTTCATTGAAAAATTCATTTATGTGTGTAGGTTTCTTTTCCTTTCCTTTAAACCTCTTTCTCGTTTCCTTGCGGCTAATGATTTGAAACTACGAACATACCAGATAAAGTCGACTCCATCCAATCACTCACTGCAGACTTGATGGAAATATTCAAATAACAATACTTTAGCCTCCGTCATTTGTAATTAGCAGTGCAAGATAACAGAAAAAAGCTTTTACTAAATGTATAACATGGTGAAGTAAGTAGTCTCAACAGTAAAGCTTTCTCTAGGTGTTGGTACATTCTAATATGGCGGCTAGGGGTGTGGTGCTACTTTGCAGTTAAACATAACTCTGGCTAAGGAAATAAATTTGTACAGGCTAGCTGGAGCAGATTTACTAAGCCCGAACTTCATGGACAACTTAACAAAACTTAATCAGACTAACGATTGCAGTTTCAAATAAGGGCCTTATCAGGCGTCTTTTTTATTCACAATGGACAGCAAGTGTACCCAGATGTCCGACAGGTGACGTTGGTTCATTTCCACTCCAGTCTGGGAGCGGAATTACCCGTTGTAGAACGACAAGTTTTCAACGTGTCAGAGTCCACGTGAGACAAAGCTATGGTATAAAAACGTTTTATTTTATTGGTCCATTTTTTTAAGACGCATATTTGTTTTCTTATTCTTACATAGTTTTGATGTTAACACAAAGCCACTTTTTTTCTAAAGACCAAGCAAAAACTATAGAAATAGTTCACTAACATCTCTTTCGAGAAGAATTTTTCCAACTTAACTATCTGGGGAACGGAAAATACGTGGGTAATGAGCTTCACGGATCACTCGTATATTTTCCACAACTAGACTCAATCTCTTTCAGGATTTGTAAAAGTTAGATGTAAAAATACGATTAAATTCAGGAAGATTAACTACTTTAAAATTGATACTTTTTTTCAAAAAACTCATCAGGTAACTTACAAAACCCTATAAACCAAATGTTCATAAAGGATTATAACCCCAATTTTCATAAAGGATTATAAACCAAATTTTTATAAAGGATTATAACCCCAATTTTCATAAAGGATTATAAACCAAATTTTTATAGAGGATTATAACCCAAATTTTCATAAAGGATTATAAACCAAATTTTTATAAAGGATTATAACCCAAATTTTCATAAAGGATTATAAACCAAATTTTTATAAAGGATTATAACCTCAATTTTCATAAAGGATTGTAAACCAAATTTTTATAGAGGATTATAAACCGGGTTATAATCCTTTATAAAAATTTGGTTTATAATCCTTTATGAAAATTTTATAAGTGTATCATCAATTTACGCATAGCTATATATTTTTAAACAAAAAACTCAATCTATGACGACGATGTTTGTTTGTTTGTTTGTTTGTAATTAAGCACAAAGCTACACAATGGTCTCTTTGCGCTCTGCCCATCACTGGTATCGAAACCAGGATTCTAGCAAGTCCGCAGACATACCGCTGTGCCACTGGGGGGGGGATGCAAGACCGAATGATAGTATAACTAATTACGTTTATTGGTATATAAAATAAGACGACTGTTTTAAGCACTTAGGTTGAATATTCTATTATACAATAGAGCGTGGGAAAATGAATAAGAATTACTAACTAAGGTAAATAAATGCAAGATGCGGAATAGGAAAAACTTCTTTGTTTTTGGAGTAGTTATATCGTTAGATGTTTTATATATCCTAATTTCTCAAGAACATGTGTGTATACCTTAATGGGAGTAGTGACATCGTAATATCTCATGAGAAAGTTAAAATGTATCCCCTTTAAAAAAACTGCATTCTTTATAAAAATTTTTGGTAGAATCGAATCAAAATTGAGAAACGTGCCTTCAACAAGGTATTTTCGTACAATTATCTCTGCAAATTTCCATAATTGTAAAGTTTAGTTAAATAAAAAAAAACGCCTATGCTGAAATTGAAATAACCAGATGTCCTAGAAATATGCTGAATTATGAAACGTTTTAGGAGGATACATCTTGAGAACAGTGGAAACGTGTTTCACCCCTTTGGCCGCATTCCAGGAGAGAGAGAGAGTAGGCCCACCTTTGGCATTAACCACAATCTGAACTCTCCAGCGAAACTCATCACCAATTTTTGATGCACACCTGTTGAAAAAGGTCGCCACGCTTTTTACAAAGCACCTCCAAATGTAATAAAATATTGGAGTCTGACCCAGATTCGGGGCGGGGATCTGAACATTACATGTTTCAAACCACTGTTGGACATAGCGTACAGTATAGCATAATAAGTTATTATGTTCAAAGAGGTACGGTTCTTTCTTGGATAATTAAATGAATGAATGCGACGACTCAGACTTCATAATTCTACCAGTATACCAAGCTTAAACCAGTTAAAACAGATCAACACCATGATATTATTTCATCTCTCCTACCAGTTGGAATGATACACTTATATCCAAAGTATCCTCCAAGTTGTTGTCAAACTCAAACGAGTCCATCAAAAGAAAAAACATGATTAACTTGATGGTTTTTATTTGTTCCTCCTGCCCCCCCCCCAGTGGCACAGCGGTATGCCTGCAGATTTACAACGCTAGAATCCGAGTTTCGATACCCGTGGTGGGCAGAGTACAGATAGCCCATTGTGTAGCTTTGTGCTTAATTACAAATAAACAATAAACAATTGTTCTTCCTTTTAATTTTCACGTTCGAGCCATCATGAAATCCAATGTTTTGGATTCACGGGTTGAATAAGTGCTTTATGGGCTGCTGTCCCTCGGTAAAATTTGCCAACATGGATTTTCTATTCACGACTGTTTGTTGTCCTCAAGGTTTATTGAAGTTCTTAGTTTTGAACTTTAGGTCATATATATGTAATTTCTGGACCAGTGAAATATTCATTTTAGGCTACGAGACTGATTTCACACATCACCGTTTCCAGAATGTTCCATTATGTTTTCATAGCGTTATCCACAATGATTAGAGGGCATGAGTGGCTAAACTGAAATATTTCACACACGCATACCTCTAACTATGTATCCAAAAATTGTTTCCTTTCGAAAATGTTTAAGCTGATTTTCTGAAGGTATATTGACTTCAACTGTCTCTTGATAATAGCTACTCGCAAAAGCTACTTAGTAGGAAGAGTCCATATATGGGGTGTATCGTCTCAACACTTTTGGAAGCATAGTATATAGGCGTTAGGCGAACACAGCAGTTTTCCTTAAACAAACTAAGGTTTTCCAGAGACTATAGCAACGAAGCACGCACTATACCGTTTCACTTGTAATTACATATTCCGATAAGCTATTTATTTGGATTACATCTTTCTTCACTTCATCATAAAATTTCTTATTTCTATTCTTTTCTCTCATGACCAATCAGTTCAGCAAAAACATTCAAAATTTACAAAAAAAACAAACAAACGAAACACACTGTTTTCACTGGCCAATTCAAACGTGAAAATCTTAAGTTATGACGCAGAAACTTTTGTCTGAGTGCACGCACGTCCCAGTTTACATAGACACTGTTAGGTGTATTTCAGATTTTTTTTTTTCCAATTGAACTCACCAAAGAGTACTCGACAGTATTGAGAAAAGAAACTGAAACGGAATGAACTTACAAACTCACAAGATGTTGTTTTACGAGGCATTCTGCTTTTCTTCTGTATTTTTCTATAATTGATTTTTCGAAACCGAGTTATCCTCTGTATTAAATAAACCGATGACAAAACAACTGATTTGAAATACAATAGCTTAAAGTAAAAAAATATACAATATACAATACGGAGATACTTGTTTTATATTTGAAACTTCTAAATAACTATAATCACAAATTTTAATTATGCCAGATTAATACTAAATATATATATTCTACTGGTATATAGAATACGTAAATAAAAATATTATATTCTATATAATTAATATACAACAATAAAACATCCTGGATTCCCCAGCGCCCTCATGTTTTAACTTTCCAACTTTTATATTTGTTTCTTAAGTAATCACATTTCATTCTTTAAAAACGGATAAAATTAAATCCAAATAAAATTTATTTCTTTTACCCTTGCATTTCTTCAACAGTATGCTTCATTCTTTAAGAAAGTAAAACACCTGAAACTAATTTCTGGTATTTTTTTTATTATATACAATAAATTTATGGGTATTTATAGTAGCGTTTATAAAGCACATGTTCATCAACAAATGTGTTATTTAGTGAACTTAAAATTGTTCACTTATTGTCATGAAATGGTAGGTGTGTATCAATAATATTGCTCATTTATTGTCATGATATGGTAGGTGTGTATCAATAATATTGTTCATTTATTGTCATGAAATGGTAGGTGTGTATCAATAATATTGTTCGTTTATTGTCATGAAATGTTAGGTGTGTCTCAATAATATTGTTCGTTTATTGTCATGAAATGGTAGGTGTGTATCAATAATATTGTTCACTTATTGTCATGAAATGGTAGGTGTGTATCAATAATATTGTTCATTTATTGTCATGAAATGCTAGGTGTGTATCAATAGTATTGTTCATTTATTGTCATGAAATGCTAGGTGTATATCAATAATATTGTTCATTTATTGTCATGAAATGGTAGGTGTGTATCAATAATATTGTTCATTTATTGTCATGAAATGCTAGGT